AATCATGATTACCCTAAGCCTCTCCATTACTGTGCCATTTTTAATGTTTCTCTTCATGTTTCTCTACTCAATAGTAATTTCCTCTGCCATTTCTCAATCCGTGGAAAAGTAAACGGGTTTTTCCCTAAAATGTGACTTTGAGTATCAAATATTTGGCAAGGTCGGGATCCAGGTCCAATCTAAAGTCACCCTCGATCAGTCAAGAGAAAACGGTGAATATTTCCTTCTTGTTTTTCTTTCATTTCAAAAGGCCATACTAGTCATACTGGTTACCACTATTTTGATTCTCATTATAGAAATATATCTCCTCACGCTACATTTGCTAGTACAGTTGAGAGTACTACATCATTCAAAATCTTCATAAAGTTTTCGGTACTGAAGTTTAATCGGTTGCGTCTTTTGGTAATGGAGTTTTCGATGGCCAAGAAGTATGAATCGTGCTGTAATTGAGGAGGTTATTTACATGAAACAGACACCAGAGTTGACGACAAATAAGTCGGGACTTATACAATACGTATACCATACAAATTGTTATAAGCAGAACACAAGCCATATGGAGATAATGAAACGTTGACAAATATGAAATAGTTATTCATTGACTGAGTGTATTGGTTTGTATGTTATTGGGCTGATCGGCAACTTTCCAAAGATCGATCATTTATTTTCTCCTGACTTCGCGGGCAGAGAAGTGAGGAGGGACTTTTGAGATGTGATGTTGAAGCTGTGTTACACTATGCTTCCGTGTCAACTGTACCGATGAAACCGCACAGTGTGACACCAGCTTAAGCATGAACAGATACACCAGTCAATATCCTTATATTGTCTCTTTATTTGCATTGGAACATTTTGAAACTTGTTTAATGACGACTAATACTTACCAAATCCAGCAATAACCAAAATTATGAATATTGTCTTCAACTTTCTTGCTATTTTGACAGATTTCACGTATCTTTTCGAAATTTCGCTTTCTACCTCGCTCATTTCCAGAACGAAATTTCGCCAATTTCTTGCAATTAACACTGATGACAGTAATATTGCAGCAACTTGGATATCTATGATAGGGCTAACTGAAATGTAAACAATTTATTTCTGTAGTTCAATTTCTCAACTTAATTTGATTCGGAAAATAGTTCTGTGGTTATGGAGGAGCTATTGTTATATTTCTTCCTTCTTGTCTCAGAAGTTACTAAGAAAGTGACTTGCCTCTTTCGAAACTTCTGAAGTTTCTGCAGAATCATAGGTTGAAGGAGTAGATGAATTATTTCTCATAATCTTTTCCTGCTACCTATCCTCAGACACTGAATACACTGAGATATTTCAAGAAATAAAAAAATCTATACAGTGCATTTCTTTAATGTCCCCCCCTTTCATTTTTTTTATTTTGAAGTGGAATCTGGGAAAAAATTAAATGGAAAGGGGGTCTTGTGACATATCACCCTGACGAATACTTCACAACCCTAGAATATGAAGTCAATANTAATTTTGTATGAAAAATGTTTTGGAGAATCGTCGAATCTCTATTAGAAATTGAAGTTGGATTCCCTTTCTATTGATAGATTGATCTGATATTTGGAACACACTCAGTTTTGATGACAATACAATTCAATGAATTCTGTATCATTGTGAATCAAAGATGGCCGCAGCTACAAAATGGCGGAGGTCATATTACCTTCTAATACTGAGGTACTTAATGAACTAAACAGAATGAGATGAATTGGGTTACAAAATTAGAAATTAAAAACAAAGTAAGTAAAAAATATGTTTAAATTCAACGGTTTTGTTGAAAAGAAAAAGATGATGATGTAGATCACAGCAGTCATCACACCTGAGGAGAGTGGTATGATAGCTGCTACCTAGGACCTTCCGAATTATTTTTTAGTCTCTAATACATTATCTACATCATTATTATTTTTTTTTCAATCAAACCGAACAATAAAAAATTTATTTCTACTAATTTTTCTCAGAAAATCTTATGCATATCCATTTTTGTTCACTTGTTCAATACTCACTCATGAAAACCATACCAATATGCAGGGGTTGGACGTTGCACAACAAGAAAGCTCCGTTTAAAAGATAGGAAATAGCCAAAGATATGGTCAGGAATGTTTTCCATGATATCCATTTGAATTTTAGATTTTTTGGATCATTGCTCCTGATGTTATATATCGGAAATATACCACAAAATTGAGATAATGTCAGGAAGTTTTTGAGTGTTTCATGTATGTTCCCGTCTTTTGCTTTGACTTCCATCCTGAAAAAGTTATATTAAAACGATAGCTAATGGATATCACATTATTTTTCGCTGTATAAATAAATGTATTTGTGAGTGAATTCTGAAATATCTCCAAAAGGTTCTGACGTTATCTGGACAAGATTTTAACTGATTCGTAAATACGTAATCTGTGATGTGGTACAGGCTTTTCACAGAAGATGTCAATGACGACGCTAGCTCTGGTCGCCTAAGCACATCAACAACAGATGGACATGTTGAGAAAGTGAAGAAAATTGTTGTGAAGAATCGTCAAATCACTATTAGAGAAGTAGCTGAGGATTTCGGCATATCGGTTGGCCCATGCCAAGCAGTTTCTCCGTACATTTTAGACATGAAGCGTGTGGCAGTGAAGTTCCTTTCAAAACTGGTGAATTTTGACCAAAAAAACCGTCGCATGAGCAATGGCGATCTAGATCTGCTCAAAAGGGTCGTAACTGGTGACGAATCATGAATATATGGTTATGACATCGAAACCAGAGTCTAATCATCCCAATGGAAGAGCCCAGAAGTCCCAAGATAAAAAAAGCTTCGCTTGTTCGTAATTTTTTTTAACAAAAACAATACCGTCATGACGCCTCAGCTACCATAAACTAAGTGACAAAGAAAGGTAAACACACATTTATATCAAAAATATGTTGATGATTTCTCACATACATACTTGACAGATGGTAGCAAAGAAACGAGTAAGTTTTCAAAGAAATTGGATGATCGTGAAACCAGTGAAGTTTAATTTAAAACCAGCAAGTTCAATTTAACCCACTTCCCGGTATCCGATTGATCTGGAATTTTGCATGCTGGTCCAGAACCGATGACAATGCATGTTAATCATGAACGTGACCTGATGCTGCTGCCAGGATCGGCTCCGTACGAGAGATCACATCTGCGGTAAATAGCAGGGACACGAAATTTTGTAAACGCATTCGTTTATGATAGGCAGTTAGTAGGTCCACCATGAAATAGATGCCACATCCAGGGTTGGCTTCAATAAAAAAAATATGTTTTTAGAAAACAAATCAAATTTGATTTAAACAAGACTGGGGGGTTGCCTGAAGAGTTGGAAATATTTGTGGGGGCCAAGTTGCACACATAGGATTTATCGGGTTTGAAATTTAAAATTTCATTTAAATTTCATCTGACTGAATATGTAGAGATTTCTTCTAGGCATCGCGACAAGCTTTTGTTATAATTTCAGTTCTGTTAAGTCATAAATGAATGTGGTTAATGTGATTTGAAATTTTGATTTGATCTTTTTGGGGCACTTAAATGAAAGCTTGTTTCAAAAGTTTTTTTATCATCATTTCATTATATTTCAAATTACCTTTGTGTCATATTGACGTGCTTTGCTTATGGCCAGGCCCGATCACTTCAAACGATTGTTTTTCACTCTATGGCAGCTTTTTAGTAGCCGTCGGAAAGGGTACATGATAAATGATTGTATTTAATTAATGACCAAATAAATACATTATTGTTCCATAAGCTGTTTTTGTGTGGTATTCAAGAAACCTGAAAGGTGGACGTTTTAATCGAATGAATGATAAATACTTATGTTTACGTGAAATTGATTGCTATCCAATAGATTTCCGACACTGTGACTCGATATCGTTCTGTTGATTTTCCATCTTACTTGGGTAAGGCAGCTCAATTTTGAATTTCTTTTAATGATAGCTCCATTCGAAATATGACTTTGACATCAATGTCTACTTCGATTGTGATGAAAAATTACCAAAAAAATTGAGTCATGCGATGCCAAATATAGAGTTTTGTCTGTCCATAATATTTTGCATCGCAGTCCTTACATTCAATCTCGTAAATTCCAGACTTTTCCGAATTCTCGACTGTCTTTTGGACTTCCCAAAAGGCTCTGTAGTGTATGACTTGTTTTAAAAACCACCTTCATACCTAGTTCCTTGAAAATCTTTCCAAAGTTCCTCGTATATTGGTGGTACGGAACAGAGATGTATTTATCTTGGTCTTTGTCCTTTCTGAAAGTCGAGATTTCGTTCGTGATCTCCCATATAAATAATTTCGTTCGTAACCCATGGCTTTCTTTTACAACTATTTTGATCGAGATTAACGGTTCTTTCAACAAATGGACATGCTAAACCTATCCAATATAATAGTAAATTCGGAAAAGTCGCATAAGCACAATGTTTTAGCGAAACATGTGGTATATTTTTTCAAATAAAGTTTGTGGAGATCAAATCGTCAGGTGTAGTTTTTGAAATTATTATGGATCTTCATCAAGTAACGGCAGAGTCAATCAGAACATTTTTAAAAGATTCCCACTTTTTTTTAACGGTTTCACTCAGTTTGCCTTCAGCTTTCAACCAACTATGTAGCATGTGATCCTATTTGAAAAATTTTTGTATTGCAACGATATGTTCAAGTTCGGTTTTTGGTGAAACTTTTTTTGTACCAGATTTAAATAGTGAGCGGAACACCTCTATCCAAAGAAAAACAACTTGCATGTTTTTCTATGGGTCTTTATGGGAATCATCACCACACATATCTGAAATAATAAAAACATTGAATGTTCCAAAAGTCAGCCAACAACATTGACATATTTTACTTCTTTGACTCTGTCGGGGAGTTTCGAAAATGAACTGAACCAAAGAGAAAGTGACAGTCATAGTTGAATTTGTTGTTCAACTCGCATTTATTCCTTACAATTGAACATTGTGAATATTTTCAACAAACAACAAATGTGCAATATCTTCAGGACATCTCTTCAATTATGAAGAATCTTAACATTGGTAGCTGCGTTAAACTGTATAAGTACCAGTTCATATGTTACCACAGCACCAGCAATCTGAAAGAGAAAATAATATAGTTGTTAATGATTGGTTGAATATTTCATTTGGAAAATATATATATCTCTTCCAAGTGGTCAACTGAAAAACTATACTACTACTAGGTCGAGCCATTTGCTTGTTTTTAGCTACACATTATTTCATCTGACTCTCAGTTCCATGTATGAGGAATTTTTGAATTCCTCATGAAAATGCCATTGTATGGCGAAACACGTCTTGCATTTTGTTAAAACTGTTTCATTGCAGTTCTTCCACCAAATATGAGCCCCATATATAAGGTCGCCTGTGATGGATGAAGGATCAGATTAGTAAAAAAAAATTGATCATCAGAAATTCTCGAGCGCGTCAGATTAAGGTAGGGTGTAAAAAAAATCTCTTATAAACACAAGTATTGTACTTAAAAAACATACACTTATTTATTTGCATGCTATTTCCTGAGCTTTTCGATTAATCGAGTTCAATGAATTGAAAAAAAAAAAATTAAAAAAATATTGTTTTTGTCAGATTAAGCGAATCTCTCTAGATAATCGTCAGATCATGAGACAGCACGTCTAAAACATATCGATGAACCATATATATCTTAATCTGACGCGCTAGAGTATTTCAAAATGGCGAATTTTTTTTGCACATTATAATAATGGACATTGATGCTATCAATATCTGACGCGCTCGAGTATGTCCATGCAACAGTATTTTTTTACATCTCCCTGCTATAATGCCACATAACGTTTCTGATGCGCTTTTTGTCTGAATTTCTGTCGTTTCTATTCATTTTCAATACTGTGAAGGTTTATGTTTCGCAATTGAATACGTGCTTATGGCCCACCGATAATATCTTCATTTCTAGCTGGCAGTACTCATTATAGAATTAATCGTACCCCACAAATATAATTTTGAATGTTGTGAAAAACATCAATGCATTTGAGACCAGATTTGGGCTATTACTATTAAAACTCACACTCAAAATTATCCCCCGGGTCACTTTGAACATCCTACATCCTGTCAAAGCCACATTATCGAAGTTTATTTGTATCAAGAGACGTTTGATCTGAAAATAAAAGTGAGCATGTTTAGAAAAATAAATGATCTATGAGAACAATGTTGAAAATGTTATTATAAAAAATCTTTGAATGAAAATTTGTTGAAATATCATCTACACATCTACACAGCTCATTGCCAATGCTACTTTTAAGGTTATTCACATTTGTTTACAACTAAATATGAGTACTTGAAATACTTTGTCTCGTAGACGAACTGATCATTCAATATTCTGAAAGAAGGAACTGAAAAATGTATGTCACATCTCACCTCGATGTTATACGAGTCAGATGGAACGGAGTTGAGAACATTAGCAGACTCAACACTCTCATCGTTTATCCAAGCTCCATAAAGAGAGACAGAACCTACTCTCAGTATCAAGAATAAGAACGAAAATATGAAATGCAATCGTTCCACCATTCCCGAAACAAACCTGAAACATACATAATGAAATTAATATAAAGTATCCTGGATATATCATTGTAGACTAGATAAAATATTTTCGAGAATAGAAGAATTAAGTGGAAAAAAGTGAAAGTTTACAAGTTTCCTTACATGAACTGTCAGTTTATTAACGAAATTTTTTCTGATCGTGTTCTTATGCAAGATACACATAACTCAAGCCGTTCAAGCCAGTCTCTATATACCTACACTAATGCTGAATGAATTATCTGCTTATGAATTATCTGTCACTTACTCCAAACTTTTGTATACTTTATCCAATAGGAAGAATATGTTTAAAGTATACGATAAAAGTACAATACAGGAAATGTGATCATCCAATTCTTTGCATATTATGCTCAGTCTGTCGTAATCTACTCGTATCTCTATCCAGAACTGTTCTGACTTCGCCTGAAACATCAAAAAGAGAAAAAGGTCGTCTTTGAGCTGAATTCAAACCATACCTTGTTGATGTTCTCAACAATTTTTTGGGTCACCTGCTTGAATCTCATAGCTAACGCCATACTCATCATGATTATAAATAAATCATTGAAAGTCCATATGAGAGTAGCATAAACTATAATCATCTGAAATAATAATAGTAGCAAATGTATAAAAAATCAACTCGTACTTCCCGTGAATCATAATTGATATATCATAAAATTACATATTCAACATTGGTTTACTTACTGAACAATATCCTGCAGTCACTATATTAATCGGAACAATGTTGAATAGTTGAGGAAATGTTTCAACGTAATATTTTTGATAGTCATAAGTATTTCCAAATTTTGTAGTTAGTGTATTATAACGGCTATATACACCCAAACAATAATCACCTAAAAATAATAATTTTTCATTCTTGGTGGTAGTTTTTCATATCTGATATGTTCGGGTTTTCCGAAATGATTGAAGTTATTTCACTTACTGATTCCTAGTAACATGAAAATCAGTGAGGATATTTGTAGCCTTCTATCCAATCCTTCGGGGTATCCATAGTTGATATTCATAATTTTATCCATTCGACACCAAGACTTCATCAGTTTTTTCCATGATTTGGCCAGCCAAAGATAAAGAAAGAGGGTTATGACAGTAGCCAAGTAAAACAGGAGGATTCCTACAATGAAATAATGAACCTAAATATGGAATTTTTGTTAGGGTGGGTATGAAAGCTAAAAAATAAAATTCTAGCATTCTCTCCACATTTCTTTATTTAATTTTTCAAGTACACAAGCGCAGCTACCGTCTCATATAACCAAAAAAATTCTCAATTACAGAACCACGTATCAAAATATGAAGAAACTGGTGTTCTGTTCAATTTAACGCATTACCACGTACAATTTCATAAGGAGGTTTATGAGCATCCCGACAGGTTCAATAGGGAATAAGAAGGTATGCTAGTCAACAAACAAAGCCAGAAATCGACACGAATACAAGTCCGATGGACATGCCCCCAACAACTTGCACCAATCAGAAAAATCCAGCAAAAGTGCGCACGAATCAAAAGTGAGCATTTGAACGGATACGCCGCCCCTACCCCTACCATTATCCCTACCACATTCTGACATTATAAATAGGAGTGAACACAGAGCTCGGCAGTAAGTCGTTGCTGAGACTTGAAGATATAACCCTCGCCCTCGCAGTAAACGCACATACCACTGATGACTTCGTAGTAGCAGATGAAACCATGAACTGAAAGTTATATTCGAATTCGGCCTACTAGGTTCAATATCTTCAATTGAAGTCGAATGATTTTTTTTTGGAATGTATTTATTTATTAATTCATTAACGGGTAACACCCACTTGAGTTTAAGATATTTTACAATAAATTATATGAATACAACAAATAATTACATCTAACTCACTTGCTTAAAGTAAAACTAATTTATTAATAAAAAAAATAACACTGAGAAAATAAATTCACTGAATTGAAATATTAATTAAATAAATGAATTATTAAAATGAGGAAAATTCAATAATTGAGGATGTTTATGTTTATATTTACTACCATTTATAATTTATTTCTGAGCAAGCGTAATGCACACTTAAATTTTGTTTTGCAAATGTTTTTGTATTCCTTGTACTTCTAGAAGGAATATGCAAGCCAATTTGTGCTNAGGTTGGAAAATATCAAATAATCATCCCAATTTTGACTTTTTTTAAACCGCTTGTGTGCTATTTTCTTTTCTTTTGTTAAGTATATTAAGTCACTCGAAAACCAATGAGGAAACTTTGATTTTCTAAACCGCACAACGGGAATAAAATTGTGCAACACCTTGTAAAAATTATCAACTGCCCTATCTATGTCAGTTATATTACCCTATAGTTCGTTCCAGTTTATTCCGGCCGAGTAATAATTTAGACCTAAATAATCGCCTTTTTTAAAATTGTATCTAAATGCATGGAGAGTTGAAAAATATGAAGTTGAAGATGAGAAGTATTTCAGAGGATTCCAAAAATTCATCCTTCAGGTAGTTTCAGACAACTTGCAAACTGTTATTTTTCTTACCGAAATCTTCGAAGTCATATCCTGTGGAAAACCAGTCCAAGAAGCAAGTCATAACAGCAAAAAAAATTATTGAAATCAAAGCTAGTGTGTATACTACTTTCCAACTCCTCCACTTGAAACCCAGTTCATTATAAGATTTTGTGATGTTTTCCTGCGGAAGAATTCCTATTATTTGATAGACTACCAGAAAAAACTTCAAAGAGTTGTGGATATTTTTTTCTTCAACTACCACTTTTGCTAACTTTTCCGAGTTTTCCACTTTATTATTTGTCACAACATACACCATTATTGTGGTTCTTGCAAGAAAATGGAAATATTGATTTGTTTTTTCTGTAGTAGCGTTGAGTCTGTTGTGAGTGAACTGAATATTCGATAATGATTTATATACACTAGACATGTTTAATTATGCACCATTATAAAAGTGATGTATGTCACTGCGTTGATGGAAATTCATTTATTTATTGGAAAATAGAATCAGCTTTTAACATTTCCACCTTTTCTTCGATACAACTGAAGCAGAATTTTCCATAGCTCCTTTCTAAACCGTGTTCAGCTAGCTTTTCAAATTTTCACAATTTGAAGGTGTTTGAAACTATGTTACCACATAATGAAAATGTATGAAAGTGAAATAAATGAACTCGAAACATAACCTGCAGAGCAAGATGGACCTGCAGTGTCAAAAATGTAAATATGTCGTCACATTCGTTGATTTTTTGTATCAAGGGTATCAAGGTGGCAATCTTGCACCTTGAATATCCGACTACCTCATTAACGATGAAACAGCAGAGCATATACTTCGTGCCTGCCCCGCTGGGCACCAAATCAGGCTTTTAGAGCCTGACCTGACCTGACCTGAAAGACCACTCACCATACAAACTAATCGGCTTCGTTAAGAAGCTTGGTTCATTTGATCGAGTGTGAATAGGTGTGAGCCACAATAAAACCTTGCGGGTTGCTTTGGAGGGTCGAATAGACCCACTTACTTTGGACCTAACCTAGCCTAGTTTAATTTTTGCCTGAGAAATCCGTGCATCATCATTAAATTTCAGCTGAATAAGACTATTACTTTTTGAATTTTCTTGTAAATTCCACCATTTCTTCAAAATAAGATTCAGAGTAACTTACATAAAACTTTCTAAATTTCAGAATTCATCATTTCAAAAACAATTACTTCATACCAAAATCAGAGAGGGCTATCAAAATTTCTTTACATTCGTTGCAGAGTTCATTTGTTTGGACACAGAATGAGGTTGCTAAGTGAAATATCTATTTTTGAAAGACAACTCATGAAACGATTTTGTCAGTGATCATTGATTTGCAAAAGTCGAACCTTTGACAGGAAATAAATCTAATGAATACACTACACCAGAACTATACGACTAGAATAACGAACTCGTCAAGGACCTGGATGAAATAGCGAATAGATTCGACAATTATTTCATTTCCGTTGGTGGAGATTTGGCGCGAAATATAAATATAAATCCGGACTATTTCGAAAGGAAGAGAATACGTAACCATTCCATTTTTCTGCAACCTACAACTGAAACCAAGACAAATATATCGCAACTCAAAAATAAAAGATCTCCTGGCTATGATGATATAGAAGCAGAATATCTGAAACTGGTGTCTGATTATATATCGAAACCACTAACACATCTAGTGAATATGTCATTAGAGGAGGGATGTTTTCCCTCAGCTCTCAAAATGGCTGTTATAACGCCTATATATAAAAGTGGAGAAAAAACCGATATAGCAAACTATAGACCAATCTCACTCATAACTACACTTGCTAAACCTCTCTAGAAGGTTATTCGAAAGAGATTGAGTATGTTTCTTGAAAAACACTAGTTGTTGTCAGAGTCACAATACGGCTTTAGAGGGAATATGTCCACCCAAGAACCAATAGAAAACCCAGCAAATGTATTAATGTTTGGATGAATCGAAACCATCTATTGCTGTTTTCGTAGACCTTAGGAAATTGAGGGAATTAGAGGTATAGCGAATAATCTTTTCAAAATTTATCTTTACAACAGAGAGCAAAGGGTTAAAGTGGACAATCATATAAGTGGAGAGAAAATTATTACATGTGGTGTACCCCAGAGGACGGTGTTGAGACCGATCCTATTCAATATTTACTTGAACAACCTTTTCCTACAAGACATCAACTCCGACATACTGAGTTTCGCCGATGATACTGTGCTATTTTGCGAAGACGAAAACTGGTTTAATTTGAAACAGAAATTAGAACATGACCTTCATCAAATCAAATTGTGGTTCGACCACAGGCTCTTATTTATTAACTTTGAGAAAACCTATTACGTACCATTCAGTAGTTGTGACAACGCTCTATCAGAATATGGCATCAAAATCTACAATACGGTAGTCAACCCACAAAGAAAATAAAATATCTTGGAATAATTTTAGACAGAAATCTCAGATGGAACCAGCACATAGACCACATAGTTAAAAAATTACATTGCATACTTTACAAATTTAAACGGATAGCAAACATACTCAATCAAAAACAAAAAATTATATTATATAAGAGTTCAGTAGAGCCCCATGTGAGATATGGTACGATTGGTTGGGGTGGAGTGTCGAAAACTCATCTACATTCCCTTGAGGTTATGCAGAAGAGATTTATCAGATGTATCCTACGGAAAAGTTACGCCTACCTTAGCGATCTACTTTATTACAAATCTGGAATATTTGATCCCAGACAGCTGTTTTTTATAAATATTACTGCTGGACAGCATAAAAACAAAAAATAATTGACTACTTATCAACATAAATATGCTACACGTCGAAATCATAGTATCGTCGTACCATTATTGCACAAATCAGCTGGGCAGAAATCCTTCCGATATTTAGAACCAAAACTCTACAGTTTTATTCCTGAAAATTTGAAATGCGAAACAAATCTCAGAAAATATATGACAAAGATTAAATTATTTGTCAAGAATATACTACGAGCAGAGATACATAGACAAATATACATTTATATACTTACTTCCACGATTGTGGATATATATTGTGTATTGATTTGTCTGGAATCTCTATATCCATTGATTGTTTGATTTATTTATATTATGTCCAAATGTGTCCAGTTCAAAGTTATGTTTTCATCTACACATTCAATACATTAGTTTATTTTGATTTCAAGCACGAATCTCATTCAATGTCAGATTCACTATTCTCATTCCTTACACACAGGCAGATCATTTTGCCTCGTAAGATGTATTTTATTTGTTTACTGTTCATTTCTATATGCACATGTATATTTACTGTAAACAATCTTAAGAAAGTGAATAAATACATACTATTATTATTATACCGTTGTCTCTCAATAAGCAATTCTATGAACAAGTTAGCGATATTAGTTATAACTTCACTTTTCTTCATCTTCAAATTATTTTGGATCTTTTCCAGTCCGATCTTCCAAATTGGCTTCAGTAGGTGGAGCTGAACATATCAAGAGAGATTATCAGAAAATCGAACATGATGTACCCCACGGTTTGATACTAGGGCCTTTTTCTCTATTGAAACTATACACAACTCCTGCCAACACATGCCACTTACTAAGTGTATT